TGGTCCCGGGCGGAGGCCGAGGCCCGCCCGCCCCCTGCCGGATGCGAGGCATGCTGGGAGCCCACACTTCCTCCTCAGGGGCCTCTAGAAAACCACAGGGCGCCGGGCCCGGGCCGTCGTCCCCAGGGAGCCGGCAGGATGGCTGAGGGCAAGGCTGGCGGCGCCGCCGGCCTCTTCGCCAAGCAGGTGCAGAAGAAGTTCAGCAGAGCCCAGGAAAAGGTAGGCGGCCGCCGGCGAGGAGCCCAGGCCCGGCCGGGCGGGCGGTCGTGCCGGGTGTCCAGGGCCCCTGGGAGGCCTGGGCCCAAGAGGAGGGTCTCCAGCTCACCCCCGCCCCCTCCCCGAGAAGCCAGAGCGGGGAGGGGGTTTCCATGAAAACTGGCAGATTTGATAGGGAAGGGAGAACACCCCCCGATCTTGGGCAAGGATGAGGGAAGCTGAGGAGACAACAGTCTCTCTTAGGAACCTAAAACAACCCTCAGGCTGACCCAGAAAGGGGACAGAAAGGAACTAACGTTGGCGGCCAGCTATGTAGCAGGTTTTGTCCCAGCAATCTACCCAGGATGGTATTTTACAGATGTTGAAATTGGAGAGTAATTTCCCCAAAGCCAAAGGCAGTGATGAGCAGCGGTGATGCCAGTGAATACCATCGTTTAGCTGGGCTTGGGAGTCGACTGACGACTAGAATAATTCTGCATAATCTCTCTGTACCCAACCCTGCCTGGCTTCTGGGTGTTGTTTCAGCTGATACAGAGTAGCCCACGTCTCCTTCCTGTACCTTCCCTTTGGCGTTGGAACGTACACAGCCCAGGGTGATGAAGAAGCATCTCTTTTCAGATTGTGTCCTTGGGTAGGGCTGGGTGGCCCCACTCCAGCACTGGCAGTTAGGTAGGCTGCCCATCTATAACTCCTCTGCTTATCTAGATTGTGTAGACACACTCTACATATTTTGATGGCATTTCTGTTTCTACCTGTCCAGAATATTTTCTTTGCTTCTCACCTGAACTTCTGCTCTCCCCCTACCAACACCCTAGTAGACAAGGTGCTATGGGAAGACACGTTAAGCCAGAAGGAGAAGAAGCCGGAGGGAGAGACAGGAAGGACCTGAGATAGAGTTTTGGTTTTCTAAGAGCTCATGCTCTTAGAAGCATTTGGATGAACAACACACTCTTAACAATTGAAATATTTATATTATCTTCTAAAGGTTGAGCAGGGGCCGGCCCGTGGCTCACTCGGGAGAGTGCGGTGCTGATGACACAAGGGCCCCGGGTTCGGATCCCATATAGGGATGGCCGGTTCGCTCACTGGGTGAGCGTGGTGCTGACAACACCAAGTCAAGGGTTAAGATCCCCTTACCGGTCATCTTTTAAATAAATAAATAAATAAATAAAGGTTGAGCACTGCATTTGGGCCTGGGAAGGATTAAGGGCAACCAACTGTCCCAAATTGGATTATCAACAGAGAACTGATGGGATGTAGATATAGTTCCTGACTTTGAGGCCTCAGTGGAAGGGAGGGGCTCTATACATGTTTTCTATCTTTTGAGGTCATGTGAAAGAGAGTAGGGAAAAAGAAAGATTTTCTTTTCTTTTTTTTTTTTTTTAAAAGGATGACCGGTAAGGGGATCTCAACCCTTGGCTTGGTGTTGTCAGCACCACGCTCAGCCAGTGAGCAAACCGGCCATCCCTATATGGGATCCGAACCCGAGGCCTTGGTGTTATCAGCACCGCACTCTACCGAGTGAGCCACAGGCCGGCCCAAAAAGAAATATTTTCTGTGGCCAGACTTTGTTACTTCATCTACCCTACCTTCACCTTGATCATGGTTTCAGCCTCTCTGAAGGCTGTCTACTTACAAATCTGATAGACCTGAGAACAGTGCCTATGGGAAGGTCTAGCTAGAAGCCGTGTGGGGGAGGAGGTACTATATCAGAGAAGGCTACACTGTGGTTGAAAAAAAACAAAACAAAAAACCAAAAAGACCAAAAAAATCCATGAATAGCAGTAATTTTAAAAGACATACCAATTGATTTTGCCTCACTCTTTTACCCTCTGTCTTCACCTAGCCTGTCATCAACACTACTCCCTTGCTTTGGCTTTCTCTCCTTTTTAAGAAAGTACTCTAAAACGTTGGGTAAATAATGCCCTGCTTTGGGCTTCAGATCCTGCATTTGTAAAATGAGAGGTTCAATTATTTTGGTAAAACTCAATATGGTAAGGACACCAAATCGAAAAAGGGAAGGGTCTCCTTGACCTCAAATACTTCCCAAGGGGAGAACCAGCCACCCAAGTAGTACCCTGTTCTTCCTGTCGTGAACCCTGAAGAGGTGGAGAGAGAGGGGAGCAAATTCAAATCTGCCCTGGGGAACTCCCAGGTTTAAACAAAAAACAACATACTTTGAACCCAGGCTTAGACACAGGGGCAGGCAGACATTGCATCAGAGGCATGCAGCTGGCATCCTAGAGGTAGTAGATGCTGCCTGGATAAGGTGGGAATGACCTGGTATTGGGGGAGGGAGCTCAGCTCAGCCAACCTGGAAACAGAGTCCTTGAGTCTTGGGAAGTTATTGAGGGCAAGATAAAGAGGGGGAAAGTTACACCAAAAAGAAAGGATTCCCTGGAATCCTTTTTTCTTCCTTTTTTTTTTTTTTTTTTTGGTGGCTCGCCAGTACTTGGTTCTGAATCCTTGACCTTGGTGTTCACTGCCTCTAACAAACTGAGCTAACTGGCCAGCCCTTAATTTTTCTCTAAGCAGTTGGATGTAATCTTCTCAGTAATGTGTAATAGCTAATGTGTTAAATAGTTTATTGTGTCAAATATCAAGTGCCTATTATGGACCAGACACTGGGATATAACAACAAAGACATAATCTCTCCTTTATGGAGCCAACAGTCTAGTAATATGCTCTCACTTCATCTTTTCAACCCTTTAAGCAAGTTATTAGTATCCCAATATTAGAAATGAGGAAACAAGGCTGAAAAGAGATTGGTAAGTGGCAGAACTATTACTGAAACCCAGGTGTCCTGCCTTTGAATCTTAACCTCAGGCTGCTGCCTTTACAATGTTCCTGATAAGCCACCCTGACATCTGTGCCTCCCCACATCCTGCTGGTCCTCTCTCAGAAGGAGCAGAGCTAGGAGTGCAGGCAGACTCTTACTGTTCAGGCCTCCTCCTTTGAAAAGCTGGGAGCGAAAGTGTGGTGACTGTTAAAGTCAATAGGGGTGAAACATTCTTTTCATTCTGTTTTCCGGTTCCCACCCAAACTCAACGTGAGACTGGATTCAAAGTGGCTCTATTGTGTTTTTACAGTATGATACATCCTCACATTTTATCTACAGCTTTCACCATCTGTTTATAATTCTCTGTGGCAGACCTCTCAGATCTGCCCTGAGAAAGGGCGCTGTTACCACTCCTTTGTTGGTTTTTTCCTCTGTTAACTTTTACTGAACTTGTATCTCAGAGGGTTTAATTCACCAAATATTTATAGAAAAACTCCTTTTTTCAGGATAGTGGGCTGGACCCAGGAGGGAGTTTAGAGATGAGTAAGAGGTGTTCTTGCCTGCTGGAAGCCTTCAATCTAGGTTTAAAAAGTAAAATAAGTGATCTGAGAGATATGCACATCTGTAGGAATTCAGAGGACCGAAAGATTGGGGGAAATTGAGAGAGGTTTTATGGCGGAGGCTGAATTTGAAATAGGAATTGTGGATGATTAGTAGTTCCTTAGGCAAGTGGTAAGAGAACATTCCAGCTGAGGAATGCCAGCATGAGCAAGACAGGGAGTCTGGAAATTCCTTTAAGCAGAATAGTGAAAAATGCAGTTGAGCTGGAGCACCTGGGGTGGTGGGGCCACATTAAGGAAAGCCTGTTTAGCATATATCCTAAAAATAAAGATTTCTTACATAACCATAATGAAATTATTGCACCCAAGAAAAAATTTTAACAAAATTCCATACTATCATCTAATAGCCAGGCCCTATTCAAATTAACCCAAGTGAGGGAATTGACTAAAATGTAATAGGGCTGACTGGTTAGCTCGGTTAGAGCACAGTGTTGGTAACACCAAGATGAAGGGTTCGGATCCCCATACCAGCCAGCCACCAGAAACAACAAAACAAAACAAAATGTAATAAATTATTACGTGGAAAGGTCATGGTGAGGAACTGTAGCCACCAAATATGTATGCAGTGATTTTTTTAAAGCATTATCCCCCCACCCCAATCTACAGAAAAGTTAAAAGAATAGTCCAATGAACATGAATATTTTTCACCCAGATTCACCAGGTGTTAACATTTTGCCACATTTACTTATCCTTACTCTTGGTCTTTTTCTCTAAATAATCTGTATTCTAACTTCTCAGTTGCCAGGCCAGGCAAATTGGGGCAGAATTCTCAGGGCAGGACTTTATGGACTAGCATTATGTAGGCTTTAATTAGGAAGTGATCCAAAAGTAGAATTTATTTGTTATTTCAACAAACATCTGTTGAGCAACTATATCTCCTATTACCTAAATGATCTCTCATTGAGGAAGAACACCTACAACATAGTATAAGTGTCCTGATTCGTAGACCTATTGCTTATGTAATGACTTTGGGCCCAGAACACTGCGATATGCTTCCAGGGTGATAATACTCACCTTTTCACTTTCGGAGTTGAAGGTGGTAACGTTCCATCAGCATCCTCCAGACTCTCCAAGCCCTTTAATATTGAGTCTTTCGGGGATTGAGGAGATTCGGCTGCCCCAGCCATCCCCTATACTGACTCTAGAATGAGTTTTCTCTTCTCTATTTTTTCTGCCCTCTCCATCTCAGAAGAACCAAGCCCTGGGCAAAGGAAGGGAGGGGCAGCAGAAAGGAAGTAAGAGCTGCACTTACCACTAAACCAGGTAGTTTTGCAACTTTCTAGTAGAGAAAAGTGCTTTTTGTTGGGGGGAAAGGGTGGGGCCAGGGAGGCTGGCAGACTGCATACTGAGGGCTGGGTGGTGAATAAAGCAGAGTTAGAGACAGATAGATATGGCTAAATGAAAAGTAAATACAAGCATTTGTAGGCAAGTGAGAGAAATTAGACATAATGATTGTGGATATGTATTGAGTGCTTATTGTAGGGCAGCACTGAGAAAGCAATTTACATGCATAATATAATTTAATCCCCCCAACAACTCCAGGAGATAAACATCTTAATGGGAGAAAGGAAGCTCTGTAAACCGAAGCTCAAGAGTTTGACTTGCCCAGAGGCTTATAGCCAGTAGGTGGAAAGGCCAAGTGGGAGCCCATATCTGTCTGACTCCAGAGTGCTTGATCTTAACCACTACAGAGAGAGCTCCAGAAGTGAGAGACACTAACCCCTCAGAGTAAGAATGGAGACACTTGGGTTAAAGTCTCTACATAGAGCCTTTCACACTCCCCAGAACTGGGCACTCTTGCCTGTGATTCTAAGCTCTTCATAATGAGACACCAATCACCCTTTTAGCTTCATTGCCCACCACTCCCCATAACACATCCTAAACCAGCCATGCTAAATCGTATCATGAAGCTGCTGTGAAGTTGGATACTCCAATGACTTAGCTGATACCGTTGTCTTTGCCTGGAATCCTCTTTTCACCCTCACTCTTTGTCCTCTATTCCAGTCTAGCAAAATCCTATTCAGGGCTCAGCCCATTTGTCCCCTCCTGCATCAGTCTCACTCTCCTTACTGTTATAATTATTAACTATCTACTTGCTGGATACTGAGCAATCTAAATGAGTAAGGCAAGTACCCAATCCTTAAGGAGCTTACAGTTTAGAAGGAGGCATAGGCAAATAAACACACATAATAAAACAAGAATACAAGTGTACACAAGGTACAGAAGTTGCAAGCATTTAGGGGGAGTGATTCATTCAATTAATGGAATGAAGTAGATGTGGTTAAGTGTCACAAAGGATATGGAGTATGAACTGGCTTTTTTTTAGATACTTGCCTGGCAGACAAGGTGGGAAGGGCATTCCAGAAAGAAGGACCAGAATCTATAACAAGCAACAGTGGGGATTATTCAAGAAACTGGAAAAGTGTAAGGGAGCAAGACCTGCAGGAAAGAGGAATAATGAGAGCTGAGGCTTAATGAAGGATCAGATCATTGGAACCTGTATGCAGCTAGGGTTTGAACTATACTTATAGATACGTAATGGACATTTAATAAACATTTGTTGAGCAGACAAATGAGAAATCATTAGAAGGTGTTAAGCAGCAGCATAGTAGCTCTATTGTAGCAGGCCAAGTGAGAAAGAATGAGAGCTGGAACTAAGACTATGGCATTTGACCACAGAACATAGAATGATTTCCAGAGATAGACATGGTGAGTGATTCCATTAAGAGGGCGAGGGAGAAGTAGTTGAAGGCAACTCATGAGATTCTAACTTGGGCCGGCGGTGGGGAGGTGCCTCCTTCCAACATGGGGGTTACATGCAGAAGACTCAGGACTTTCTTACCACATGTAATTACTTGTGTATAAATGAGTGTCCCCTGTGAGAACAGAAACCAGGTCTTTTTTATCACCATGTCTTTCGCAGTGGCACTGAAACCAGTCAGATTTCCTAGTTGAGAGGAGATGGACATGGATAGCATTCATTTCCAGCTGAGTGTCAAATGTATTAATTATATCAGGGCTTCTCAAAGTTTTCCACAGGGCCCTCATGAGAAAAGAGTCCCCTGCCCACCTTTCTAATCTCATCTGTCTAGAGGAATCTGTGGCTATGGCTGGAAGAGGGTCACTGAAGTGAAAAATCAAGGCAAATGTTTTATATTTAAAAGCCATGCATACTTTTACATTCTTCTCATTAATCCTTGTTTTAATATAACACTGTCCCCCCTACCGCATTAAAAAAAAACACTTTATTTTATTTTATTTTATTTTTTATTTATTTATTTTTTTTAAAGATGACCGGTAAGGGGATCTTAACCCTTGATTTGGTGTTGTCAGCACCACGCTCAGCCAGTGAGCGAACCGGCCATCCCTATATGGGATCCGAACCCGGGGCCTTGGTGTTATCAGCACCACACTCTCCCGAGTGAGCCACAGGCCGGCCCATAAAAAACACTTTAAATAACGACATTCCAAGAACATATACCTTATTAATTTTGAGCTTTATATATACCCTCTAGCACACTGCTACACGCCCCCAGAGTTACCCCAATTTGAGAACCACAAAATTTGATTATTTTTTCAGCAATGTGTTACATTCCTAATTCTGTTGGGCTAGGAGTATGGTCTACGGCCATACCACCCTGTCTGATCTCATCTGATAGTAGTACAGCCCTTGAGTTGTACCTGAGACTCTGAGAGAGGCCAGCGTCATATGAAGCTAACATATAAGAGAGGCTTGACTATAACCTGATGGGCCTTTCTATCTTATACCCCAGGTGCTGCAGAAATTGGGGAAAACTGTAGAAACCAAAGATGAGCGATTTGAACAAAGTGCCAACAACTTCTACAAACAACAGGTAATCTGGAGGGTGGGGAAGGGAAGCTTGGAGGAAGAAAGAAGAACAGCAGGTTCTGCAAACCAGCAAGCATCCCTACCAACCCACCCTCCCCCCAGGGGTAAGGGATACAGGGTGACCTGCTGTTTATCCTTCCCCTCTGGGGAAGCAGAGAAATGTACCCTTCCTGTTGTTGCTGACCCTGGGATTTTGGGGGACAGAGGAGTGTTCTTTTCTGTTAGTGATTCCCATCAGGGCTTCCAAGGTACAGTGGCATCACCAGGTGCTTGGACAGCATCATTGTGAGCCCCTGTGACTTTAGTTTTAGGCTTATTCCCCTCCCCAGGTACCTCTCCCACACTCGGGTTTCTGTCATCTCAGTAGCCCTGTTTTCCTCATTGCCTCTTTTTTTTTTTTTTTTAAAGATGACCAGTAAGGGGATCTTAACCCTTGACTTGATGTTGTCAGCACCACACTCACCCGAGTGAGCTAACCAGCCATCCCCATATAGGGATCTGAACCCGTGGCCTTGGTGTTATCAGCACCACACTCTTGTGAGTGAGCCACGGGCCGACCCCTCCTCGTTGCCTCTTTGTCCACTACATCTACCCCGCCTGAGCCTTTTATTCAAAATAATACCTTCATCTTTCACCTGTCATTTCCACCAAGAAACCTATTCTCACGTACCTTCTGTCTCAACTGAGTATTATGGATAATTTCATATAGAAAATTTACATTAGGAAGTGGATAACCTCCATGGGATATCTGACTTTCCATCTCTTATGTGCAAGGCATTGTGCTCAGTGCTTTACATGCATTATCTCATTTAATTTTTACATTAGCCCTGGAGATTGCTATCCCCTCTTAACAATAGAAGGGTTATTAAATTAAATGAGTATCCAATACAATGCAATTCTGACACTACCCAGATTTAGGTCAAATTCCATAGGTTAAAGGCACAGTCCCCCACAAGACTGCCCTCACTTCAGACACCAGCTGCAGGGTTCCCAGGCCACCTGCACTTCTGAAAAATTGGCTACAAATTTTGGGGTTCCTCCTACCTGCTCAGGTTTGATAATTTGCTAGAATGTCTCTCAAAACTCAGGAAAGTGCTCTACTTACAATTTTATTAAAAAGGATACAGTACCAGCCAAATGAAGAGACACATAATGTAAGGTCTGGGAGGGTCCCAAACATGACGAAGCTTCTGTGTCTTCAGGACATGTCCCCCTCTTAGTACATTGATGTAGGATTAATCGGGTGTCCAGAGTTCTTATTGTGATTTCTTTACATATCAAATCATTGGCCATGTGATTGAACTCAATCTCTAGCTGCTCTCCTCTCCCCTGCAGGTTGGGCTGATATCACCTGACACAAAACCTTAACCCTCCAATTACATGGTTCATTTTTTTCAGCCTGACCAGCCACCATCCTGAGTCATTTGTTTAGCATAAACTTAGGTATGGTCTGAGGGGACCACAGTGAATAACAAAGACACAGGATTTAGAGTTACTTCCCAGGCACTAAGGACAAAGACCAGCCAAATTCTGAATTATACAATATCAATTACTTGAATTGTATGGAAAATAACATAAAATTATATTAAAAGGATATTAGCTATTATCTAATTAAGTATTTGATTGTATATCAGAATCATTTGGGAAATATTTAAAAAATTCAAGGTCTCTAGGAGTAGAGCCTGGGAATTCGTCCTTTTAAATGTTTTTTAAATGGAAAATTTCGAATATATAAAAGGTAGAGAAACTTGTATAATGAATCTACACGTACCCATCGCCCAACTTCAATAATTTATCAACACATGAGCAATCTTATTTCATCTATGTCCCTAACCACTTTCTCCTATTCTTGATTATTAGGAAGAAAATTCCAGGTATTACTTCATCCATGAGAATTTCATTATCAATTCCTAAAGATAAGGACTCTTTTTTAAAATATAACCATAATACCATTATCACACCTAAAAATGTTTTTCTGTAAAATACTTACTCATTACAACAGATCAGAAAGTACATCAAGAAAAAAGGTGAACTTAAAAAAAAATACTGATTTCACACCTTCCTAAGCTACAACCACTATTGTTTTATATTCTTACAATTACTATGCTATGTTTGTGTATGATATCTAAATATATCTGTAATAAATAAATGTGAGGTTTACAAAAGAGATTATTCCATGCATATGGTTTTGCAACTTGCCTTTTTTACTTGACAATATAAATATATTTTCAGATATTTCAGATTGAATATTTCACTAAAGTAAAAGTTTTAGTGCTATCTAAAAAAATTAGCAATTATTCAAATATCATAAAATATCCAGTCAACGTTCAAGTTCCCCTGCTTGCGTCATCATATTTTTTATAGTTTGTTTAAATCAACAAATCATTGACATATTTAAGTCTCTTAGATTTAAATCTCCTAATCTATAGATTTCAATCCCTTCCCTTTTTGAAGCTTATTTGTTAATGATAGCAGGTTGTTTGTGCTGCAGTTTCCTTTGTCTAAATTTTGCTGATTAAATCCCCATGATATTGTTTAAAGTGTTCCTGTCTCCTGTATTTCCTGTAAGTTGATAGATTTAGAGGCTTGATGAGATTCAGGTTTTCATTTTTTGTTTTGGTGAGAAGAATACTTCATAGCTATTATTGTATTCTTCCATCAGGAGGCACATAATGTCTGGTTGTCTCCCCTTTTTTTGTGATATCAACATCATAGGTGACTATGGGATCTGTGTTTTATATTAAGCTTTCTAGGTAATTATGATGTAGCAGCTAGTCTGAAAACAACATTAAGCAACCACTGATTTAGTCCAACTCCTTTCAGGGCAAATAGGATTTGATTGAGAGGGAAGTAATTTAATCAAGGTAACATAGCATCTGAGTGGCAGAGCTAGGATTCAAACTTAAACCCTGTGCTTTTTTTCACTGTACCTCACTAGGAGGTCTCCCTGGGCCTCTTCTCAACTCTAGTTACTGTTCTATTTCCAACTACAGCATAAACAGAAGAGGAAACAGTAAGATGACACCCACTTCGAAAGGCCACTGACTCTTGGCCCATTCTGTCCCTCAGTCCTCTTTCTGAGAGCAGATGTGTGGGTAGAAATGGTAAGAGATGAAGGAAGGGCTGTAAAGGAGAATAAAGGATCAGATGGGACAATCCCTTCAGCATTCCCTATGCAAGCCCCCCATCTAAAAATCATTTGAAGGGGGAAAATATATTTGAGAATTGAAAGGAAGTTACGTTGGGAATAAGGAAAAACTTCCTGACTGAGAGAAGTATAGTGTAGTAACTGGTGATTGAACATGCTTGAGGGGCTGGCCAGTTAGCTCAGTTGGTTAGTGTGGTGCTGGTAACACCAAGGTCCAAGGTTTGATCCCTGTACTAGCCAGCTGCCAGAAAAAAATTGCTTATCTTCTCTTGATAAGTTCATTTAACAAATATTTCATGAGTGCCTGCTAAATGCCAAGCACTGTGCTAGATATTGGGACTTCAACATGAATGGGACACATGCCTGCCCTCAAGGCTTTCACAGTTTAAGGAGGAAGAGAGTGACAATAAAGCGAAGTATGAGGCTGAACCTGGGATGGCTAAAACGAACAGGTAAAAAAGGTCAAGGTCAGGGAGATTGAAAGTGAAGTGCTCCAGAAGTTGTGCCAGTTGATAATGTGCCCTATTCCTCACCCTCAGTCAGTTTGTAGGTATATTTTTTATTAATTATTTTTTCTATTACTCCCAAACTTCCCAGTCTGGTTTCAAGGTCTTTCTACTTCCCTTGGTCTTGATCAAGTTTCCATAGGTAATTTTTCCTTGTGGCTTTGCTTGCTTCTCCCTTTCCTTCTCGTCCAAATATATTACTTAGAAAGAATTATTTTCTTTTTTTTTTTTTTTTAAAAGATGACCGGTAAGGGGATCTCAACCCTTGGCTTGGTGTTGTCAGCACCATGCTCAGCCAGTGAGCAAACCGGCCATCCCTATATAGGATCCGAACCCGTGGCCTTGGTGTTATCAGCACCGCACTCTACCGAGTGAGCCACGGACCGGCCTAGAAAGAATTATTTTCAAGCAGCACTATAATCTCTTATTTCTGGGAGTGACAGTTGCTTCTAATTCATTGCTTTAAAAATCAAATCTAGCTTCATCTTTCCCTCCTGGATCTCTATTAAATCAAGCACCTTCAGCACTTGCTCAGGGTTTGGCCATGCTATTTATACTTGCTTTGCTGAGTAAGGACCTTCTCCATCCTCAGTACCCCAGGCTCTTAGGACCAGCCCTGCCTACCTGAGTGCTTAGGACAAGCTTCCAGAGTAAGTGGTTCATTAACTGAGGGGCTGGGACTATTTGTAGAAGGGGTGGGAAGGACTGACTCAGACTCTTCATGGCAATGCCAAGAATTTGGCAAGGATTCAGAGAGTATAAGTGATAAAATCATAGATTTAGAGCTAGAAATGGCCTTATCCTACATTGATAGATGAGGAAACTGAAGTGGAATAACTTGCTAGTAAGTGGTAAAGCCACATTTCTTGACTCCCAGGCAAGTGAGAACCTAAGACTGAGAGAGTCACATCTGTCAGGAAAGGAGAAGAAAGATGCTGGGATTATTCAGGCTAGAGACATTTCAGGGGAGGACAGACAGATAAGAGAAATAAGATGACACCCAGTGCTGTCCCACCCTCTCCCATTCTCGCCCCACTGTTATCTCCTCAAAGGAAAGAGCAAGAGCATAATGGAAGAAATAAATAGTTCCCCCTGATTTTGGACAGTGCCCAGTCACACATAGTAGCCTTGGTTACTGATCTGATTTTCCAGGCCATATCAAATCTAAGGGGAAAAAATTAAGAATTTCATTTGTAGAAATTACACAAGATAGTTTAACAGCTTTTATTATTCATATATGTATTTTTGAAATCAAATTTTCATGGTGAAGTAAAAAGTTGAGTAGATATTTTCTTTCAAAAAATAATTTGAAATCCTTGTTAATTTTTATAATCCTCCAAATTCTTTCAAAACCTTGATTATCATGTTTTCAAAACTCTCAATCTTATACCTACCTTATCTGTTTCAATTATATTGTGTGCATTTAACATCTTAGACTATCTAAACTTTTTTCTGTGAATGAGAAAACAAGGAGGAAGTACCTCCTTCCTGGTGAGTCCTGAGTGTTTCTGAATTTTGTTAACTGACTGCATCTGTCTCCCTCGTGCTACTGAAAGTGCTTTCTCAAGTTCACCAATGACCTCCAGTAACCAAATTAACTTTTACCTATTCTCCCTGCATTGTAATCTCTCTGTAGCATCCAACCCTTCCTTAATCATTTCTCTGATGTTCTCTTGATCCTCATTTGCTATGATACACTGCACAACCCCAGTACTTCTCTGACAATCCCTTAGCCACCTTCAAGACTCTCTGTGTCCTCATGTCACTTCAACCTGGCATTCAGTCCCCTGAGAAGGACTTTTAACGTGAAGTATGATCAAAAGTTTGGACTGGCTTAGAAGTGAGCTCTGGAGGCAAGAAGATGGATGAAATAATTAGTCCCATCATCTCTGTTTATTTCACCAAGCAGACCTAGATTTTCTGCACTAAAATTAAGTAATAGTGATCTTTTCCCAAAGATTTCCACGGGAAAAAAGTTCATCATTAGATGAAATTTTCATTTTTTTCTGCCATAAATTTTGTTTATACTTTTAGTATGTTTAATAACCTATCTGAAAATGAACATAGCAAATAACAAATGAACAAGTTCAAGACAAGTATTTTATGGTATACTGAATAATGCATCTTGGCTTTCAAATACTTCATCAGCTAAACTGGTCTGTTCTGACTTGTAGACTGACCCTGTGGAGAACCCTTGAAGTGGGCTATACCTCTCAGTCCAGTCCCCATTCCTGAAGTCAGGCTCCAAAATGTCAATCATCTGGCCTTAAACTTCCTTCCCACCCAACTTCTAGAAACTGGAGTTCACACGTAGGAAAGAGACCAGAATGGGAAGGGGCTTTAAACACCACCATAAGGAACAACTGAGGAAACCTATGAAAAAGAAGACTTGGTGAGGGCACATGAAAGTTGTCTCCAAACATGTGGAAGAGAAATTAGATCTACTCTGTGGGTACAGAAGGCCAACCTAAGACTCATGGACAAAAGTTCTAACAGACACATTTACGAATGAAGCAGTGCTGTCTCAGGCAAGAGGTTGTGGAGTTTCTGGTTCCTGGAGGTATTTAAGAAGCAGAGGCTAAATGAACATTTGTCTGTCAGAGTTACAGTAAAAGCAGTTTATCTATCAGGTTGAGATTGGAACTCCTAACTCTAGATGATACCTTTCTCTCTTTCTTCCCTTGCTTTTTTAGAGGGAGGAAGAGACCTAGTCTGCACTTGGGAGTTCCTAGCCTAAAAAAATGAAAATTCAGATGTAGGAGCAAAGATAGAAGCAGAGATAGACAAAGATGTAAATGAAGACATTGGAGTTGGAACAGGAAGTGATTCAATGATGAGGCTCCCTGGAGGAGAAATGTAAAGCAGGTGACTGATGGAAGGGAAGGGTAAAGTGAGGCAAGGCAGAAAAGGAGAGGAATGTCTGTGTGAGGGTTCAGAGAAGGAAAAGGGACTGATGTCTGCAGAAAATGGTAGCAGTTTATCTACCCAGAGAGGAGGGTGTGAGCCAGAAAATCATATAGACAGTGGCACAGAGAGGACACCTGAATTTCAACACGGGAACTTGGGTATAGGCTCTTGTTCCCTAGAAGGAGAACAAACAGAGGAAGACATGCTAATGCAATGGGAGCTCTAGCAATCCCCCAACTTAAAAATTGACCCAAAAGAGACAACCTACAACTTGTCAGTAAAGACAGTAAAGGCTAATTTACAACAATTGAAATATGTGAAGAAATTCCAGGAGTGATTTCTGCTTTTAACCTACTTTTCGACTTTGGCCTGGAGTATCTTTTGAGATGTATCACTTTAGTCACCAAAGGCACTTTTCTCTTTCAGGCAGAAGGCCACAAGCTATACAAGGACCTGAAGAACTTCCTTAGTGCAGTCAAAGGTGGGTATTGCAGTACAGGAGAATTCAGAGGGCATTTATGCAGCTATTGAGAGGTCTGTTGGCAGAAAAAACAGCCATACCCAGGTTTTTTTGTCACTTGTCTGCCCTTGATTACTGGAACGTCATTGGCCTAGGAAGACGGACTTTACCTATCCCAGCCCCATCCAGCCGCCCTCACTGATAAAATGCATCTTTTGAGTTTGTCCTTCTGAATTGGACTCACTGATATGTCACCCATGTAATTATACCAAACTGCTTTTTGGGAAACTTTATGGTGGGACTGAGTTCTCTACTTTCAGTGATGCATGAAAGTTCAAAGAGAGTCTCAGAAACCCTGCAGGAGATCTACAGCGGCGAGTGGGACGGTCATGAGGAGCTGAAGGCCATTGTAGGGGTAAGTGCAGCTTGTGCTTTACAGCAACTCTTCAGCACTTATTCCTGTTCTTAACCTCAGCTTAGCTTCTCCATCTGAGAAAGTAGGAAAATAAAGGAGCCAGCTTACATTGTTCATTTGTATAGCCTCAGTCACTGAGTGGTAGGAAGAAGCTACAGCTATTAAGGTAAAAACAAGTTTGCCCTAATCTGTAGGTTCTGCTGGTTTTGACACTCTCCCCCTCTTTAAAAGCTTAGAGAAGTTTTACCTCCTAAAGATTGGTTATTTTTGAAAACTACCTCAAGCAATTGTTTACTTCCAAACTTCCCTATTCTCTAAGCTCTAGAGTCCAGTATTCTTACCAAATATACCTGTTCTTAATCCCTGATTGTATGTATAGTCTGTCTGTATGTATAGTGATTGTATAGGGCGGTTCTGTGGAGCAGGGGCTGTTTGTTTTTTTTCTCTGAGTCTTCTCCAGAATCCAACATGATATTCTAAATACAGTGCTACAAAAAAGAAGTTTGTTTCAAAGAGAATTTGGGTATTTTCCTGGTAGGCAGTTGTTGAGACATAGAGCCCTCACCAGCCTCTGCTTCTATCCCACAGAATAATGATCTCCTTTGGGAAGACTATGAAGAGAAACTGGCTGACCAGGTTTTGAGGACCATGGAAAACTATGTAACCCAGTTCAGTGAGGTTAAGGTACTTTAAAAATTTTTTTTATTATTTATTATTAGCATATTCAATATTATAAATCGTGGTTTTTCTTTATGCCCTTTACCCAACCTATCACTCCCCAAACCTTCTAGTATCCTTAGGTTTGTTCTCTCCCTTCCATAAATAACCTATGTAACGTATTGTGGTCTATCCTTCCTTCCTCCCTCCCTCCCTGCCTCCCAGTTATGCGTGAGAACACGTGGTATTTCTCTTTCTTTGTCTGGCTTATTTCACTTAACATAATTTTCTCCAGACTCATCCATGTTGTTGCAAATGGAAGTATTTCATTCTTTTTTATGTCTGGGTAGTATTCCATTGTGTATATACACCACATTTTCCTTATTCGGTCATCTGTTGATGGACACTTAGGTTGGTTCCATAATTTGGCTATTGTAAATAGAGCTACAGTGAACATGGGACTGGAGGTATCCCTTTGACATGATGATTTCCATCCCTTTGGATATATACCCAGTAGTGGGATTGCTGAATCGTATGGTAGTTCTATCTGTAGTTGTTTGAGGAACCTCGATACTGTTTTCTATAATGGCTGTTCTAATTTACAGTCCTACCAACAGTGTAGAAGAGTTTCCCTTTCCCTGCATCCTCACTGGCATTTGTTATTCTTGGTCTTTTTAATAATGGCCAGTCTAACTGGGGTAAGATGCTATCTCAGTGTGGTTTTGATTTGCATTTCTCTGATGACTAGTGATGCTGAGCATTTTTTCATGTACCTGTTGGCCATCTGTATGTCTTTCTTTGAAAAATGTCTATCTCCTTTGCCCATTTTCTATTTGGGTGATTTTTTTTTTTACTCTATAGTCTCTTTTTTTTTTTTTTTTTTTTTTGTCTTTTTCCGTGT